TGCTCTGACTGTTCAAGTTCATTTATTTTTCTCTGCAATTTATGTTGGGATTTTTTATCAAAGAAAATGGAGAGAGAAACGGTAGATGATGAAGAGCAGAGCATAAACTAAAATGGAGAGAAGTATATGACTTCAACTCAAATTTTCTTATTAACAAACTCTCCTATTTTTAGGAGAATACAATCTTTAAACAATTCAAAATTCAAACAACTATTTTACATTAAAAAACAATAAATATACATTTGAGTTTTGAAATGAGTAACAGCCACTTTTGCTGCTGCATGCTTGCGTCCTTTGCAGCCTCTTGGCAGCTCTGCAGCCTCTTTGCAGCCTTTCATTTGCATTTGCATTTGCATTTGTATTTAATTTGCTGTTCATGGCAGCCTCATTTCATCAACATTTGCAACTTAGCTTGCTGCACATTTTTGCTGTCATTTGACAGCTTCATTTTCACCATATTTGCAGCTAAATTGCTGCACTTTGCTGCTACCATCCAATTGGTGCAGCTCTCCCTTCATTTTGCTGCCATTTTGTGCAGCCTTTCATTTTCATTTACTGCTACTTTTGTAGCTTGAACACCACAGCTCCAACACTCCTCCTTGGTGTTAAAGCTGTAAAATAAAAAACGACAATAGGTTTATGCCTAAGCACCTGGGATCAACCCTTTGCTGTCCATCTTGTGCTTGGTTTTCACCATTTTTTTTTTCATCACAGTCATGTACCATCCTTCTCAAACAACCTCAGCTCCTCCTTCATTACAGCTTTCCTCTTTTGGATTTTGCTGCCCCAATCAAATTTTGGAGGTCTTGCAACTAAGTTGCCTTTTCTAAGTAAATAAAACAAGGATTTTGGTACCTCAAAGTGCTGCTTCGTCATCTTCTACATCTTCTACAGCTTCCATGGGCTAAAGATTTGGCTCCTCGGTCATGAAAATGACTTGAGCAATGTTGAGTACTCTGTTGGTCCCAATCTGCATCTTCACAAGCCATCCTTGCCTTTTCTAGACTAATGCTGTAGCATAAAACACCACCCATACCAACAACGTAAACCATCATCAAACCAGCATCTTCTGCTCTTGCTTCTTGGAGATCTTCTGCCTCAAGAAGATTGAAGGACGTCAAGTTAACCTTCAACTTCACAGCTTCACATACTCTCTTCTGCCTTAACAAATTGGTTGCATCATTTTGTCAACCACTTTCAAAGATTGAA